ATTATACATATTATTATTATGGTCAATTTTTTTACACAAATTCATCCAAAATAGAAATATTGGTAGATTGTAGATTTAGAAGTGCGTGCGCAACATGCACATCTACCGATTATTATTATTGAATAATTTTAAATAATTTTTAATTATTGATAAATTGATTTTGTAAACAGTAGTTCTATTTCTTTGTTCAGTTTTTGAAATTCGGTCTACGAAATCATTAATATAATAATAAATTACCCTTGAACTTGTTGTTGTTGTTATTATTGTTGTTAATGATGATGATAGTGAAGATGATTCATTGCTATTACCATGATTACTATTATTTGTATTAAGAAAAGATTTTAAAACTTTAGCTGGTATTAATTAACGTCTTCTTAAATGTCCTTCATATCTTCCATTTGATTCATATAATTCATAATTATAATATTTACATCTTTGCACGTTTTTAATTGTAATCGGACAAGTTTCCAAATGCAGTCATATATTTTTAGTGGTCATTATGAAGGAATAAATTTTTTTGTACATATAATTTTTATTTAGAAATATTCATATACTTCCTATATAATTTTTTTTGTTACATGTTTCCCAAAATTACATGCATATGCATCACGCACATTACATCTCTAGGAAAAATTGGTCGTGGCAGATGTTTGATTGGTTATGAATGCTCCACGCAATGCTCGCAGATAAAGCAATGCATGACCAAATGGAAATATAAACATTTCTAATTCTGATATTATTGGTTAGCCCAACCACGTTAGACAATATGACATAATGGCCAAAATATCACAAAATTGAGGTGGTTGCCTAACATAGGAAGTTAACCGATAAGTGTAAAAATCGGCTAGGGCCCCACTGCACATTACATAAACATCAGAAAAGTGGAGGAGATGGTGATAATAATCACAAAGATGTCAACAAAATCCTGAACAGGCTTCTTCAAATTGCGACGATGATGGAATTCAAAAATAAAAGACTTGGTGATGAAAGCAAAATAAATAAGAAATTATTTGTAAAGAAAGCAATATTTGAGTAAGTGTTATTAAAATAAAAGTTGCGTTGGCCTTCAAAAAAGATGACGATGATGATTGCGATTATGAATCAGCTGCTAATGTTTCTATTAATAATAACAAAAACATTTGTAAACAGAAAAATGTTTATAATTTCTGATACGGATTTGTTTTTTTTAGCATCAGCATAGATTATCTTTTCAATTATTTGGAATTTTCCTAGAATCATTATTTGTAAAAACATTTCAGACTTATTGAAGAATATGCCACGTGGGATTCAATATAAACTAACTGAAGCAACTTTGATAATTGATTACCTTGGTCTCATATTTAACAAGACAATGCATTATTTCAATTTTATGTAAAATCACATAATTAGTATGTATATAGCATCAATAGAATTGATTATCGTTAGATGGAAAACAACGAATAGATTTAGAATTAAAGAGATACGTATTTCTACCAATTATATTTTGGATAATAAAAATGGTGCAAAATGTTGGCTTTGGAGAAACTACTAGTCCTGCTAGACAAATTCTGATTTAAAATTCTTGGGATTGTTACCGTCCAGTAGTTAACGCAAGGCAGTATTGAGACCAACAAGTTTTGGTCTGGTCAATTTTCCATTAATTAAAATATTAAATATGGTTAAAATGATACATCAATGGACAACTCTGATGCAAAGGATACAAATTATTTTGAAATTTATTATCACACAATACATTCTCAAACTCCAATTCATAGCAAAAAGCAAACGATTGATCTTTGTATAGAGCCCTGTACAGTATCCACAGATTCAAGCTTTTGGGGGCAATTTAGCACCTCTTCCACCGAAGGCAGTGAAGCAATCCAAATAGAATGCTTGATTAAATCTTTGAATAACATATCAACTCGGAAGTCTAGCATTCCAAACAGAAAACAATTATTCAAACTCTGGTGTCTCTTTCGTCAAAGACAGTAATGCAATTCAAACAGAAAACAAATGATTCAAGTTGTTGGGGAACATATCGACTCGACGACCAAAGAGAGTCTAGCATACCAAACAAGAACGCAAATTTTCTCAATCTATATAGGTTAAATAAAATTTTCAAATTGAACCTTCTGTTCTTCTAAGCATGTTTGAATTTCACTTGGTATAAATCCTCTCAGCAGCACAAGTGTACATGCTTCATTGTTATGATTAAAATATGGCAGATTTAATAATCTTGTTTTGAGGGCTTGATAATTTATTGTTTCTTTATTATTGTTACTACATTTTTTTTTTAACATTAAATGTATTACAAAGCAACTTATTTCCATCACAGAAGTTTTGTTTGCACTACAAGTCCAAATGTGTATTTGGTCTTCTTTGCTTTCTAGGCACCTAGGGCACGTACTGTCTGTGTATAGTTTTGGATTTCTCTTGTGTAGTGTTTCAAGCACTGGAAGTTCGTTCATTAATAATTTGATTTTGTAGCTTCTGTCATATACTGAATTAAAAATTCTATTACTTTTTGTAAATTTCTTGCTATTAAATATGTTGTGCCATGTGTTTTCCCAATCTATTGTCCCTGGTTTATTTGTGTACCAGGTTCTATTGAATCTTGTTTGGTTGAACCATTTTATTGTGTTTTTGGTTTCTACTAACTTTCTGATGAATGGTCTTAATGATGTTTGAACTAGATGTTGGTTCCAGAAAAGGTTAAATTCATCTATTTTCCAATTTTGTTCTATCATGTTTATGATTTCTGAGTTGCACCCTTCGCTTGCTAATTGATCAGCTACTTCATTATGTTTAATTCCTGTGTGAGCTTTGACTTTATTGAAATTAATTTCTAAACTCTGTTCGTTGAGGAAATTAATCAGTGTAAACCAAATAGGACCGTGATTTGTTTTGTACTTGTTTCTTATTGTTTGGTTAGGTTTGTTTTTGTGAAGTTTGAAATTATTGATTATAACTTGATTGTCTGTATATATTGTTATTATTTTCTCTTTTGGTACAGTGAGAGCAGCTGTGAATATGGCTAATAATTCTGCCTTAAATTGTGCTGGCCATTTATTTATGTTAGCTTTAAAGGTACTGCCTTTAGCTGGACCAGATGTAACTATCCACCCAATTCCCATTTTGCATTCTGAGTGGCCTATTTTTTTGACTGATCCATCTGTAAAGAATTCAAAATTGTTATATTTGTTCCTGTTTGTTTGATTAGTTCTGTATATATCTATTATCTTTTGTATTTGATTGTTGAAAGAGAATAGTGTTTTTATGTAGTTTATACATTCTTCACTACCATTTATTGTGTTATTATTGTTGTCATATGTTTGTGAGTTATTACTGATAGGGTTTATTTTTCCCAGTTCTCCTGTAGTGATTCTGAGCTTTAAATCCCCATCCCTGCCCTTGCTGTAAGGAATTTTTATTGATTCCTTGCTTTTAATCCTAATTATGCATTCTTGATTATTGTTACTATTGCCTTTGCATCCTGTGCATTTAAGCATGTGAGGTGATTCCCAGTCTGCCATTGTTGGAGATGTGGTGGGTGATATTTGGCAGGATGTTTGGTAATGTATTAAATTAATTTCCCCATTGTTTATTTGGTTTTTGTTACTGTTATTACTGTTACTGTGATATTTACCATATGTTATAATGTCTTTATGTTTTGCAATTATTAAGGAATTTTTATTATTGCTGTTGCTTTGGTACGTAAGATTTGGATCATTAATTATGTATCTCTCATGTAAGACTCTAGTGATTGGATTCTCCATTACTACTTGTTCAATTTTCCCATACCAACTTGGTTTTTTCCTAGTTGATTGAGTTTTATTTCTGGCCAGCCAGTGGTCCCATCTCAATAAATGCTTACCATCTATTGTTACAAGCTGATTCAAAAACATTAGATTTAATTTCCTCAGAAGTTTTGTACTCTTTTTAAATAACTTGTTGTCTGTTAATATATCTTTAATGATTATTCAGTGTATTTATATCCATTTTGTTTCTTAATTTGTTTTTTATCAACTTCATTTCTGAAAATATTCTT